CAATATAGTTGACCTTCAATCTTTTGAGCCATTGATTGAGCAAACATGTGATGTAAGACTTGAAACTTGACATAATCATTCTTAAGGACCTATGATGAACCATGAAAGTAATTTGAGACCCTTGAAACCCAATATTCTTTGAAAATAACCAAACCCTAATTGAAGACCCTTGCTTAAGAGGAGGTTTGACCAGTCAACTTTTGAGTGACTTTGAGTATTTGAGACCTTTTGTGAGCATGTTTTTGAAGAAAATGGGAGGGAAAATTTTGGGGTACAACATTATCTATACATCAATTCATACTCACATATCACATAGCATTATTATGCATTCTATAACACCAATTTCATCAACTTAAGTGCATACATAACATCAATTCATCAATTAATTTCAATTGCAAAAAAGAAATAATTCATGAACAAACTCACATCAAGATTTCTCATCAAAATCCCAAACAATTTGCAAAACCTAGAAATTGAAAGTATAAATATCTAATCATGTTTTCTACCCATTACATACATCACATACTCCCATAATCAAGTAAAAACCCACCCTTACCTTAGATGTAGATCCTTTCTATGGTTATTCCTTCTTCTTCTCTCTTTTCTCCTCTTTATTCTCTTTTCTTGTTTTCTTCACTTTCTCTCTCTAATTCTATATTTTCCTTATTTTGTTCAACTCTTACTAATTCTAAATGGACTTAAATTCATTCACCCACTTTAATGTAACATAAGGCCCAAATGTGTATTTTGCTATTCTCAGACTCAATAACCCAATACGCACATATTCCAATTAAATCAATTATTCACATAATCACTCAATTTAATCAACCAATCACATATTCACAAAAATTAAATAATTAAATAATTATTAAACCAATTAATAATTAACATAGAAAATAAATAATAAAATAATTAATAAAGAAAATCGGTGTGTTACACCATCATGAATGCACAAGCACACCAGGAGAAAGCCTAGTGATATTACCTACATGGCATCACTAGAGGCTGTTATCCGGAGTGATATTTCCTACATGGCATCACAATTCCACCATACCAAGCACGTTGTTGTTTATTTGCTAGAGGAAATATCTTTTCAGACCCCCTCAATGTATCACAATGGTAGCTCAGGCATGTATGACATACCAAGAACATTGATGTTTATCTACTGGTGGAAATGCCTCTTTCAGACCCACCCAGTCCATCGCAATGGTAAAATAAGATGGTCACACAGTCCAGGTCATAAGTGATTTACCACCTAGTAGCTTATGTCTGCTTCGATTCAAGCATACATCAAAATCGTAATACGCATCAAGCCACACATACAACCATATTCAAACGTTCGACCGGAATGGACGGGAAAACAATAAATGATCACATCATAGAATTTATTATCATAATGCATTTCCAACATAATGAATTTATTAAGCATACATATCAATACAAATAGCATAAAAGTTATTGTATCATGGTATCATGCATTTCACAACACATTATATAAGTCACAAAAGACTAAGGAGGCGTTTGATTCCCTAGACAAAACAGAAATGCACTCAGGGAAAACAAAGAATAAAGTTCTATCCAGGGGAGCCTGCTAAGCGGAGTCCTAGCACGCTTAGAAAAATGTATCAGGTTTTTCACCAAAAAGCACGCTAAGCAGAATCCCGCGCGCTAAGCGCAGTTTATTCCGCACAGAAAAATCAGAAGTACAAAAGCACGAACTTGGGGTATTAAATCTCCATTTTAGCATATTAACACATGTATCAACATTACAAGACATGCAAGATCATAAAATAACACATTTTCATCATTAATCATGCATGCAACAACAAGAATCCAAACACTGACACATTACATGTATTATCTCACTAACCATTCAACATGCAAATTAATCCACATTCCTACCTATGTTCTAACTATAGAACTCACCTCATGCCATGGAGACTTTTGAATTAGAGAGATAAAGATGATGATAATTCTATTCCTACGATCCTTTCTTGATCAAAGTTTCTCATCCATAATCATCAAATCCACAGCTCCCTCTTACCCATTTTCCAACATGAATCTTCCATTTTCAAACATGTTTATCTCTCTCGTCACAAATATGCAAGAGACAAAGTTTATATGCAGAATGAAAGGAGTTCTGTGTACTTTCCAAAAAGTCAAGAATCGCTTAAATTCGAGTTACGAGTAAAGAGTTATTACCATTTTAGTGGAGATTGTACTAAAAGTGCGAAAATAGAATCATGAAGATGATGAACATGAATTCTTCCTCTTCTCTCTTGCTTCTAAGCCCTTCATTCTTCTTTCACATTCTGATTTTTTGTTAAGAGGTGAAGATGATGATGATTCTAACACTTGATCATGATCTCCACCATGCAAGTTGGTGATGAAGCTTGAGTCCACATTTCCTTTTCTTTCTTCCAACAATTGTTTTGATAAATGAGAATGAATAACAACTTAACCAAACAGCCCTGAAGTCACTTACACTTAAGATGTAATGACCAAATTACCCCTTAATTATGTGTAAACTACAAGTATGCCATTTAATTCATTTATAACCAACCATTATGATTTCAAATAATCTCCTCTTAAATGTCATTAAGTTCTATTAGCTTTTATTCTCATGCTTAGAGAAATATGGATGTTGCAATGACTAATATAATATATATATATAATATATATATATATATATATATATATATATATATATATATATATATATATATATATATATATATATATATATATATATATATATATATATATATATATATATATATATTAATTAAATTTATTAAATTGACATTGTATTAATAATAAGAAGAATCTATAATATAAGAAAATCAGATCTACCCAAAAAGTCAATTTTGTTCTATTTCTCTAAAATCATAACATATGGCTTCTTGAGAAGAGAGGAAATATTTTTCTTCAAATACCTATCCTCTATTTTCGTTTAATTTTTGTTTTCATTGAATCAAAAGCGATGGTTACCAAAAAATACCCTCTCATCTTCAATTCTTTTCCCCTTGTCACCATTCCCCTACCCTCCTGATTTACTCGCTTCTAACATCAGATTAAAAAAAATTCCTAAAACCCTTTTCCCTTTTCTTCAACACTTCTCTATTCGATTCAGTTCAACCCCAGGCTAGGGCACCCGGTCACACACCTTATTTCTTCTCCGTTTTTGTTATGAATCTACCATCAATCATGGATCAAGTCGATTTCAATGCCCTCCATTCCATGGAAACCACCATCATTGGTGTTACCTACAACGGCAGAGTCATTCTTGGAGCCGATTCTCGAACCAGCACTAGTACCCTCATTCATAAACCCTAATCTAAATCACTCCATTTCACCCATATAAACATGAAAGTGTGGTTGAATTTCGTCATGTTACTACCTGCAAGTAGAGAATTTATGTTCGATTGGTGATTTTTTTATGTTATTTTTTGAATGATATTCGATTTGATTTCTCTATTTCCGGAGTATATGTTGTCAATAATGCATCTGATAAAATCACGCTGCTCACTGACAATGTCTACATCTGTCGTTCTGGATCGATAATTTTCTTATGTGTTATTATTACTTGCTTAAATTTAATTTCATGTTTCTTTTTTTTTGAATATTTATTTACTGTATGCATCTATTTGATGGAATTATGCAATGTGTAAATTTGTAGAAACACAAGTCTCACCATTTTAATTCCTATGATCTTTCTTTTGCTTAAAATGCACTCTCTTTTATTTTCAGAGTTTAACTCTAGACACTCCGATGTTGAAGGAATTTCTCAGCTTACAACTGTGGTTCCTGGTACAGATGAGTCAAACAACAAGTTAGTGCAGCAACTCTATAAGTTTGTGGATCTGCTTAAGGTTCAATATCTATAAGTTACTGCGTAAAACAGTCAATATATACAATTGGTGTATTTGAGTTTTTAGAAGAAAAAAAACTGGTGCATTTGCGTTTTTAGTAAAACAGATCATTCCATCTCTACAACATGTCTCATCTCTCACTGGTCAGGTTCAGAGCTTCGCCGAGGATCTTGCAGAATTATAACTTCAAATCTTTCACTTCACCAAGAAAATTTTGAGTACTAGCTTTCAAAATACATAAAGAAGTGTTTATGTATTGTTGTTTATTTGCTTGATATGTCAAGGTTGATAAGTATTCGAAGAAACTGGCTTCCAAGATTATGGAAGCTCTCCAAGAACACCGCCACCAAATGATCGGGAAGATACCGCAAACTCTTGGGTAAAATTAGAACTTAATTAAAATTAGAAAGTAGTGATCATAGAATGTTCTTAAATTTTCTTAAGCGATTCGTGCAGGATTTTAGCTCTGAGAACATGGTGGATGATCTATTACTCAAAGATCTTAATCCATTCTTAACTCGTTACAATGCCAACAGGTCAAGATCTAGAGTAACTAAACCTTTCTACTAATAATTTTTCTCGCCTTTCTCTTTATAAAATGACTCTCGCAACTAATAGTTTCCATTTTTTGCAGGAATCACTACAGGATAATAGCTTATCAGAGGACGATTTCAAAGTATATCCTGAGTTGCTGGATGATTTTGAGTTGCAGCCTTCAAAGAGATAATGATTGGGTAAATAAAAATTTATTTACTTTTAGATGCTTGTCTTGGACCACTAGGACAAACCTCCCTTGTATCTCAAATTCTTGTAAGCTTTTTATATTCCATCAATCATATAATTAGATAATCACATTCGTCCGTGTCGGTGCTACACAAAATGTTACACCTTATTTGTTATAACGTTCTATCGTAATGTGATGTATTTTAGTTTAGGAATCATGTTTAAGAGTGTGTTAAAAAGAGTTTATATTTAACTAACATTCTTAATACCTGTATAGGGAGGATTGGTATTTGGTCCATCAATTTTAGGGCATAAAGAGATGGTGACAAGCATCTTATTCCCTATGAAAGGTTGTCTAATACTTGACACAGTAGCAACTTTCTGCCTCAATTTCTTCTACTTCATATGTTGTGTAAAGATGGATACTGTAACAATGTTGAAGAAAAAAAACAAGCCATCACAATTGGTATTTATATATTCACATTTGCATTTGTAATGCCTCTTGGAATATCCTTTACATTGACCAGTTTTGTTACCATGGACAAAACACTCGCGACTGCTTTCCCATTAATAGCCATCCCGCAAAGCTTTATGGTATTCATCAGCATATCAGTCATACTAATAGAGATTAAAATCCAAAACACCAATGTCAACTGTCTAGCATTATCATATGAGATGTTTACCTATGTTATTATTCTCCCCGTGATAACACTTATTTTTGCAATATTGCAGGTTAAACATAGTAATAAGAGTATGCTGACACTACTATGGATCCTTCTATCCATAGGTGCACTTTTGGTTGTTATCTTCTATGTAATGAGGCCAACAATAATATGGTATCTGGGCCAGATAAATGGAAATCCGATCGACAAACTTTTATTTGTCTATACCATTCGGTGTGTCCTCTTCGCTTTAATTTTACAGTGAGTTCATTGGACATCACTATTCTATGGGACCAATATTTTTAGGCTTGGCTTTTCTTGAAGGGCCTCCTTTAGGATCGACTTTGATAACAAAAATGGAAACTCTTTTTGTTGCTTTTTTTGTATCCATTATACCTTGCAGTCAATGGATTGCATACTGATATATTCAAAATCAACTTTCTAGACTTCTGATGAAAACAATGATGATCGACATCCTAAAAAAATTGCATTATATTTTGAAATGGTTGATGGTGGAAGTGATGGATCGTTGGGGCTTGTAAGTTATACCACACCTATAATATATGTGAGTTTATTTATCAAAATACACCCTTTCAAAATCTTGTACTAACTGATATGCTTAATTTTTCTTTGAAGCGCCAAATTTTAGGTATGGCTGATTCTCATGCCTATTACATGTATTTGATTTTGTAACTTTTCGAAGTTTAGTTATCTGTTTTATTATGTTTTTTGGGCACCATTTTGTGAAAACATAAAGTGATGTATCTTGTAATTGAAATTGAAATGTATAAATGGGATTATATAGGATTTTCCTATTATGTTGTGTTTTTGTTAGCATCACGTGAAGGCAACTATGTTTTTTTTTCTTATTCATGTCCTTTCTGCTTATCAGTTTACAATATGGGTTGTGTTTATTAACATGAATCCTATGTTATGTTTACTGTTTTCAGGTGTTCAGATTATCATTTAGAAGCAGGAGAGGTATTGGAGTATTTATGAAATATGTAGTGTGTTGGGTTATTTGAAATTGATTACACATTTATGTTTGATATGTTGGCTGAAACATTTATATCTTAACTAATATTTTAGGTTAGAGCAGATGAATTTGCTTATATGTTAGCCGATATTTTAAAGCAATTTTACATTGATACATCTGGTATGACAGCGAGTCAGAGCTTGATAGTTGGATTATGTTAGAATTTCCTTACCCCACCTAATCAGTGGTCTGACTTATGCAGTCAGAGATTCCTTAGAGACCAAGCTCCCATTGCATATCATGTCCAATCATCTATTTGGCACATAATCAAGCAACATATGAATGATGTCAAATATATCCATTTGGTAAATAGGTACTATTATAACTTTTTTACTAATCACTATTAAAATGATACCTACTTGAAAACTGCAAATGGTGTGCTTTTCATCTCAACCGACTTGAAAGTTGTTGGATGGAAAATAACTCAACTATGAAGATCATTAAGCCATAACTTTTTATGAAGCTTCCGCCAATTAGATTTGAATATTTTTGAAATTCACATAATTTCTAGGTATTTCATGTATGTTACTCTTTTTCTGGTAACAATTGATTTTGTTTACTTTACAGAGGTGTTGTTTTTATATTATGTGGTTTTGCACTAGTGAGGATTAGGATAAACTCTCTAAATAAACGATTTAAGGAAGACTTGTTGATTAAAAACTCGAGCTCGACGACGACATTATGATGACATGTGATGATGTCGAGCGAGGCTTAAATGTCTGGCGTCCAACATCTTGACCGGATTGTTGGATTCTATCCCCGGCTTATTATCGGGAGTCCATTAATGTGCAGGGGAGAAAAATACGCGAGAAGACATAAAGCCTACAACATGATTCTTACCGGTGCTTCTTTTATTGATTCAAAACGAGCTTTCAAGAGGTACTGGGGTGAGGAAGCTAAACAAGGAAGAGAAATTGTGGATAAGTTATTTAAATGTGAAGATGTTCTTTTGAATTACTTGTATGGGAATGCAACTTCTTCATCAAGGACAGTTGATCACGTGAAACCAGCTTGGGCAATCGATGCTTCAAAGTTTTTTGGTGGAGCGATTAGTTGCAACATGAAGGTGCATTACAGATTGAGAAGCAATTGTCTGATGATATTTTCGAAGATCTGTGGAAGTATAGAGGATCGAAAATGGGAATTTGACAGTATAAAATATGGTTGGGATGTATAGTATTATGGACTAATGGAGTGATTTTTCTTAATAGTTAAGTTTTTGGTGTAAACCTTTGTTTTTTTATTACCTCTTTTAGGGGTTCTAAATGGTTGTGTCTACAATATATAAATTTGGTTTTATAATAATTTTTTATGTTTTAGTTTTAATTTATCATATTAAAGTTTTTTCTTATTATATCTATTCTTCAGAGATATCACTTAATAAAGTGTATGTTGCATGTTGCATAACTTGAGGTTGTTCTCCTGTTGTCATTCTCACACTAGTTTATGATAATATGATATACTTCTGTCTAAATTTCACCGGTATATAGGATCTCTTATCTGTTGAAAAATATAGGAATCTGGTGCAAATTTTTTGTTGTCATCCCCTATAGCTTCAACCAATGATAATGTTGTTGTCTGGACCCGAAAGTGGGAAAAATTATAATAGAAACATTAAGTCAATGATCAAAATATTGAATATTAACGGGAACATGAAATTATTGATAAAAACATTGAATATTAACAGAAATATGAAGTTAATGATCAAAATATTGAATATTAACATGAACAGTAACTTATTGATTAAAATATTGAATATTAATGGGAATATGAAGTTAGTGATAAAAACATTGAATATTAACGAGAACATGAAATTACAGATAATTTTTTTGAATATAAACAGAAACATAAGTTTACTGATTAAAATATTGAATATTAACGAGAAACATAAAATTACTGATTAAAATATTAAATATTAACATAAACATGAAGTTATTGATCAAACTATTCTGGGAATAAATGCGCGTACCAAACAGTTACCCGTGCGAACGCACGAGTATCCCACTAGTTATAAAAATAATAATCTATCTACTTAATATAAATTCTGATTTGTCGTGATGACAATCCTAACCACGTGTCATCATGATAGCAACTCTTGACAAAAATTCTAATTCTATTATTTACTAATTTGACCTTACATTAAGAATTAATAGCAATAAAAATAATGATAATAATAATAAAATAATATTCAACCATCACTAATAATAATAAAAGAAAACAAACCTTTGGATTAAAAATGATAAAATAAAATAATAATAATATAATATCTATGTATCACTCTTATAAAAATTATAATTATTTATTTATTATGCAATAATTAATAAATTTATTAAATTGACAGTGTATTAATAATTAATAATAATAATAATATTAATAATAATAATATTAATAATAATAAGAAGAATGAGAATAACAATAAATATAAAAATAAAAATAATATAATTATATCTCTACATTTTATATAATATAATATTTTATACAATTCAATATGTAACTAAAAGCTTGTCAAAAAAAAATGTAACTAAAAGAATTTCTACAAAAATTTGACAGATTAAATTTTTATAATTTATATCACAATTAAAATCATAAAAGCATTTTATTACCTTTATAACTCCTATTATCATTGAACTATACACATTTGAACTACTATTTTTTTTTTAATTTTAAAAATAAGTAATGATAGTAATAATATAACATTCGGATATCACTATTAAAAATTATTATAATAAAAATAAATATTTTATATAATTATATTTTTTATACAATTCTATATTTTATACAATTCTATATTCAGTTACCAATTATTTTTAATATTTTATACACCTCAATATTTTATATTTTTTTCAAATGTAACTAAAATATATTCTGCCTACAAATAATTAAATAACTGTCAAATAAATTTTTTATTAATTTTTATAATTTATATCACAATTAACATTCTTTAAAGAATTTTACTACCTTTATAACTTATATTATCATTAAAAGTTATAAACTTTTTAATTTATTTTTAAATTTTATAAATTAGTAATAATAATAATAATATAACATTCAGTTATCACTATTAAAAATAAAAATAAAAAAAAATAATAATAATAATAATAATAATAATTTATACAAATTAATATTTTATACAGTTCTATATTTTAAATTCTATATTCACCTTCCAATTTTTTTAAATATTTTATACAATTCTATATTACTTTCAAATGTAACACAAATAAATTTTAAATAAAAAAAACTGAAAAATAAATTTATCATTAAATTTTATAATTTATATCACATCACAAGTAACATTATTTAAAGAATTTAACTACTTTTATAATTTATATTATCATTAAATATTATAAACAGAAGCTTGCAAACTATAGTTATTTAATTTGTAAACTTAATTTCAGATATGAATTTCAATTTACCAATACGTATTTTTATTTATAATAAAATGAAATTTTTTTATATGTACTTTAATATCTATTAAAATATATTTTCAATAAAATACATATCATGACAGCATATTTATTTTAGATTGTACAATTTTAAACTCGAGAAAATTCTAAATATCATGAGCGAAAGACAAAATTAAACAAATAGAAGAGCATGCTTTAAGGTTTTGAAAGTTATAAATATTATAATCTTAATAATATTAATAAATTATACTTTCAAGACATTTAAGATAAAAAATATTTAAAAAATATATGAGAATATTTTTCATCGGCTTTTTTAAAGTCTTCTCGCGCATCGCGCCAGTCAACATCTAGTTTTGATCAGTTAGAGCCTTTTTATCCAGATATTTTTAATTGCAACTTTGATCTGAATCGAACAGTTTTACTGAACTTCATTGCGCATAGTTTAGCCAGATACTTTTATTTTATTTTTTTTGTTGTTGCACGCACTATTTTTTTATTCCATTTGGTTCTCTTTTGTTCATTTTTAATTTTATTAAAATTAATTAACATAAAATAGTATTTAGTTTTGGTTTAGTTTTATTTATAACCTTGTATTTTAATTTTAAAACAATTAATCAATGAGGGAAAATGGATTTTTTTACTAAAAGAAAAACTCAAATCCCTCAACGTGTTTTGTAAGTCTAAAATAAATAGGTGTTTGCTAATCTTGACTTCCAGATTGAGTCCTTAAAAAAGGTGGGAATAATTTGGAATCTTTGGCCTTTCAAAAGATTATATCGGAGGTTGATATTGAGGCTAAGATTAGAGAAATTACATAATTTTGGTACTTTTAAAGGATAAAAAAAAAATTCTCAATTATTTTAGAGATCAAAAGATAAATGGGTTAAGGAGGGAGACTCTAATATTTTTTTTTCATGCGTCTGCTAAAAGTAGGAGTAAGAGGGATATTTTTTTTTATTGAAGGAGTGTCTGAGACTTTGCAAAAGGTGTTTAATCATTTTTAATCTTTTTAAAAAGTTGATTGTAGATAGGCCCCAGGTTGATAAGTTTGATTTTCATTCTAATTCTGATAAGGAAAATATTTTCCTTACAAATTCATTTCTTCTCCAATCGTTAGAATACACATGGGCTCAATGAGATGACAATAAGAGCCTTGAAAACTATTAAGGGAAGATTTCAGGCTTATGTAGGGGTGGTAAAATGAGCCTGATCCATCGGGCATATCGTTTTGTCTGCACTTTTTGGCGAGACACTCCAAGATTTTAGGCCCGCATCCTCTAATGTGTTTGTCCCACAATGCCCCATTTTTTCTAGGTTTTTTTGAGTGCGAGAGTTAACATAATATTTTTGTATTTTTAGGTTTAAAAGATGCAGTGTCTGTGGGACCACTCTGCCCTACCCTCAATTTTTTGCAGGGAGGGTCAAGGTTTTAGGCCTGCATCCTTAACTATGCATGTTCCACCTTGCACCACCCTATTTTTTGCGAGCTTTTGTGCGTGCGGGTCTAAATGTGGCGGACATACCCCTTTACCACTCCTGGGTTTGTGTTTGATCAATTTTATTGTTCTCTATGGCTACCTCGAAGTTTTTCTTTCTATTTTATGACCTTGATCCCTAAAGTTAAGTTTTCATCTCAGTTGGGTGATTTCCAATCTATTTTATCTTGTAGGATCCTTAAACAAGTTAGTATCCAAAATGTTGACAACTAGACTAAGAGATGTGATGGATAAACTTATTTACTTTATTCAATTGAATTTCCTCAAATTTAGTTTATTGGTTTATAGTGTGGTGAAAATTGATGAGGGGGTTGATTTGATAAAATTTGAGAAAGGCCTCCCTCATTTTTAAGAAAGATTTTGAGCTTTTTTTTTATTACATGCTTATTATATTAGTTTTTAATGATAAGTGGATAACTTTGATGACACTTGTGTTTTTGTAGGAAATCTTACGGTGTTGGTGAATAGCTACCAAACTTAGTAGATTAGTATCAAAAGGATTTTAAAACAAGGTGATCATCTAGCTACATTCATTTTCCTGTTAATTGTAGAAGAGCTTAGTGGGTTTTTTAGCAGGGTAGTTGACTTGAATCTTTTCACTAGTTTTAGGATGGGATCCTCTGATTTGGTGGTTTCCCTTCTTTAGTATGCAAATGATTCCTTAATCTTGACCAACTCTTTGGTGGAGAATTTGTAGAGAAGTAAGATAATTTTTAGGGGTTTGAGTTGGCATCAAGTCTTCTACATGATTTTTTAAGAGAGTAGTATGGTAGAATTTTAAGGACTTAACCACTGAGTTTCTCCACTGTAAGCTTGAGTCCCTTCTGCTTATGTACCTTAGACTGCCTATGCACCCTAACCCTCGTCTTCAAGTCACATAAAGATCTCTTGTTAGCATGTTCATTAAGAGACTCCATTTGTGAAAGTAGGGGTATTAGCCTATGGGCCCGATTGATTTTACTCAATTTTGTGCTTAATGATATTCTTATTTTTTTCTTGTCTTTTTTGAAAAATCTTGTAATGGTTTGGAAGGAAATAGTTAGGATGCAAAGAAAGCTCCTTTAGGGTGGCGCGAATGGTGACTCAAATATTTCTTGGATTAAGTGGTCTGATGTTTGTAAACATAAAATAAAATGTGGCTTATGGTGTGTGATCTTAGTTTGGTTAATTTGGCCCGTTTGGCCAAATGGAGACGAAAATTAGTCTCAGGTGCTTCTAACATTTGGTGTGATATCCTTGTAGCTAGGTATGAAGCATCGATTGTTTCTTCCTTTACA